ACACACACACACACACACACACACACACACACACACACACACACACACACACACATATATATATAAAATTTCCTCAGAGAAATGTAAGACATACTCTCTTTACCTTCTTCAGTCTCTAATCTAACCTAGTTTAGAACTTTTAGAACTTGCAAAGTTCTGCACTGATGGTGATTGTGATTGAGTCCAGCTGCTGGTCACTTACTTATAGTCCCTTATAGTCTGCCTATATATGGCTCATTTACCCCAGTACAATTCGAGGGCTGATTTACTCACAGTCCATACCTGATCCAGAAACAAACAGTAGCTGTAGGTGCTCTGGGTACTCTATGGCTTGTTCCTTTCTATATGGGTTGTCTGTGCAAACCCAGCTCTTTCTGCTGCCTTCTCAAAGCTAAACACCTGAGTTGCTGAGGAACAGATCAGGAGAACACCTGGAAAACTTGCCAAAAAGAGGCAAATGGAATCTCTCTGAGGCTCCCACCACAACTCCCTTCTCCCAGTGAGATGGCAGGAGACAATCTGGTGGTTCACTAGGCAGGATTTGGGTGGCAGTGGGAAGGGAAGAAATGTCTTCTCCTCTCAAGCCACATCCTAAATATTTCCCAGAAAGAAGGTGACTAAGAAGGGCAAACGTGCTCCACCTCCTCTGGTTCTAAGCAACCTTTGACTCAGGTACCAGAGATGCTATAACACAGTCCAGAAGAATAAAATCCCAAAGAAATACCAATGGAGATTCTCAGGTCATGGTTGTCCCAAAGATGCTTTCTCAAGATGCTTTTTCAAGAGTCAGAGCTGAAGAAACTTCTTGGGTGAGAACCAAAACATCTTCAAAGGAAAAAAACAAGTCCAGTTCCCTTTTGAAAAAGCACCTTTGGGACAACCATGACTTGGATAACTTGAATGTCCATAGATGGCAGCTTCACACACACACCCAGAGCATTGTTTGAGAATGTGTGAATCTCTGTTGGTTCTGTCTGAAAAAGCACCTTTGGGGCAAAAGCCCCAGAGAGTGGGGGTGTGGTAGCAGAATTTCACTCCTTCCCACCGATTGCAAAGCAAAACTGAAGGCTGCCTACTCCTTGACCGCCGTCCCTCGGCCGCTCTCCCCTCAAACAAACGCGGCTGCCTTAAACCGGCCGCGGTGTTCCTAAACGTGCGCGCTCAGCCTCGCTGTCGCCTGTAGGTAAGACAGACTCCCCCTCAAGGTAGGTGGGGGAGGAGGGCCCCCGATAGTTTACGAGGAGGTGGGACAGAGGCAAGGAGCGGGGCGGAGGAAAGGGGGTCGATGGCGGGGGGTGGGCTGGAGGTGTGGGGGGGAGGAGGCGTTGTTGCACGTTCCCTCCGCATAGGCTGAGCAGTCCAAATCCTTTTCGGCTGTGCGGCGTGGCCGGAGCGAAGCAGCTTTTGCAGCCGGGCAGCAACAGCGCGCAGAGGGAGAGGGAGAGAGAAGGCAAAGCCGTCGCTGCCTATCACGAGCCTTTCCCTCGCCACTGGTTGCCGCCTCCGCCGCGGACGCCTGCCTCAGCTCACCTCGCTTCGCCTGCCTTTCCTCCCTCCTTCCCGCCCCAGGCGTCAGTGCCACAGGACGGCCAGGGCCACTAAAGGTCTGGTGGACGGCAGCCGCAGAACCAGCACCTTCCTTCTAGCCAAGAGCGCGGCAGGCGTCCTGGGTGAGTAGCGCTCAGTGGAAGAATCTGGCCTTCTCCCCTAGTCTGGGGGGGGGGGAGAGAAACGGGAGGCGGCGGAAGCAGGTCGGGCAGATTTGGAAAGCTGGGCTCCTGGTTCAGGTGGGTGGTTGGATGGGGGCGGGAGAGAAAAACAGGTAGGCTTTCCCGCTTCGGTCTTCACTTCTCCCAACTCAAGTCGCCCCGAGCCCATCATCATCAGGTGTCTGATCTGGCGAAGTTGGCCAGAGCATCTCCTGCACTTTTTGGTCTTTTTGTTAAAATGCGAAGCGGGACCGTTTGTGGTGCAAGGGGAAAGCGGTTACGGAAGCATCCCTGTCTCTCTTGACTCCTGTCTTTATATTCTTCTCCAGGCTTGAGAGAGAGTCATGACAGCTGAAAAGGCTATCCCTGTAATTAATGGCAAACCCGAAGATGCTCCGGATCCTGAAGCCTCCAGCACCAATTTGGTCCACAGCAACGATAAGAAGGTGCACGAAAGAGGCCATTGGAACAATAAAATTGAATTTATGCTATCTGTGGCAGGGGAGATTATTGGGTTGGGGAACGTGTGGCGATTCCCATATCTCTGCTACAAAAATGGAGGAGGTAAGATGGCATCCTGTCTCAAGTGCAGAGCTTGCAGGTGCTTTGCCCATCTGTTGAAACATTTAATTTGCTTAATGTGAGGGGAAGGGAGGTTTGTCATGATAGGTTAATATTTAGACAACAGGAGGCTATCAAGCAATGGAATGGAATTTCAGAGAGTTAGATGCACAAACGGGAAAGAAAAGGGTAGGTGATAAAAGTAGAGATGGATTGGCTTACTGTAGTTGTACTTAAGCTTTTGTGATCCTTTGAAAGTGGATGATTAGTACTTTAGTATGCAGACAGATGGTTAATTTTTAAAGTAAAATATTTCCCTCTTGTTGAAGACAAAAGTTAGAAAAGAGTAAGCCCTATAATTAATAGCAAATAGCAGCTTCATCAACTGCATGTTGAACAAGGGTGACATATTTAATGAAGAATGTATATGTGTCAGTCATGTTTCCATGATATACATTTATATAAACATGACAAGAATAAATCTAATAAAATAAAAATTTTAAACATTTTCAAAATAAACTTAGATTTTTAAAACAGGTAACTTTAAAATTAGCATTTATTTTTCACTTGAAGTTTTACTTACTTACTTCAAGTGAAGTAAGTCATAGCAACAGGTATATGTAGAGTTTGCTTGATGTGACACTCACAGTACAATCCTAAGTGTTGGCTTTAGAACCAAAACTCCAATAGGAAATCTGTTCTGGATAGCAAATTGTATTCTTTTCTGTTTTCATAAATTCCAAACTTACAATGATCAATAGAAGAGCTAGATTTTATCATAAGCAAAGATGGACTTCCACAAAGCAAAAAGTTGCTCCTGAAGCCATTTCGGAATTTCAAGATTTAGACAACTCAAAACAGATTTTCCTTCAAGCGTTTTTTAAAAAAAGAAAAATCCGGTACAGGGGAGAGAAAAAGAAAACCTTTTTTGTGATTAACATTTTTATTTTTGAATCAGATGCAAACTTTAGCACAGGTTTCCTTTTAGTTAAAACACTTTTAAGAGGAATGGAGGAATGGAGAAAAACCTATCGATGACATCCAAGCAAAAATGCAGAGTCTCAAACTGTTCTTTCTTTAAATAAATAAAATCCCTACCTCTGGCCTTAACATTCTACAGGTTAATTTCATAGGACCTTTTAAAATAATAAGCCATTTTATACCAACTCACAGACTTCAAACACTACTCTTGCATAAAACCTGTCTGTCTGAAATGGGAGTCCCATTTAGATTTAGAAGATGTGCCAATTGCATTCAATTTAGAGCAAACAGCTGTTATTCATTTTCTGATGCGGATTAATGAAGAGGTTTATGAACATTTAGATTGGTCTTGGGCCCAAAACAAAATGGGTTGTATTTAAAGCTTCCTAAAAAGAGTTTAAAAAAGAATTCAAAACTGGTACATGCTTCATTCTGCAAACTATGGTTTTCTTTACCAAGGGCTAGTGTCAGTAGCTTTAATTTTCTTAGTTTTCCTTCACACTCAATTAGTCTTCTTTACATTCAGATACTTAGAGGTATTTTTTCTGGATTATTAGGCATAAAAATATGCAGAAGTATAAACATTGTAATGTATAGAATTAATTGTAATTTATAGCCATATTGTCTACAGAAAAGAATGTTTTGGTTCCATTGACATTCAGTATAAATCGAATGGTCTAATCTTGTTTTGCTTATTGAAGATAGAGCACAAGTTACTTCTCAGAATCTCTTGGGAGTTATTATTTTGTTAGAAAATAAATATTTACATGTCATACTCTTGTTTTATTTTATCATATGAATATTGTTTGAAAACAAGTCAGAAGCTTTATTAGTATTACCAACTCTTTGAATTTTGGCGAGCATAATAAATTAAATATGTAGTCATTGCATGACACTTTATAAGATTAGACAAGACATTAAAATGGGTTACAACCAAAGAAAGGATATACATTTACAAACTGTTAATATTTTTGGGTATATGGTATTGTAAGCCATACTCCAAATAATATAATGCAGAGTAAAATGTCAGTATAATCTAAATGCCATCACTTGCATGGCAAATATATTAATAAATTCCATCATCACACTGGGAATATAATAACCGTATAGAGAGATTATGCTTTGGATATTTATTTATTTATTTATTTGTTTGTTTGTTTGTCAAACATGTACAAGATAGCAGGTATAGGTATAAACATAAACAAAGGATGTATAAGTACAGAGAAATGGGAACAGTAAGACAGGGATGGTAGGCACGCTGGTGCACTTATGCATGCCCCAGTGGTGGGTTTCAAAATTTTTTGGAACCTCTTCTGTAGGTGTAGCCTGCTTTCCGGGTCCACTGGTGGAACCTCTTCTAACTGGTTCGGTAGATTTGACGAACTGGTTCTACCGAACTGGTGCAAACTGGTAGGAACCCATCTCTGGCATGCCCCCTTTATGGACATCTGAGGAATGGGGTGAGGTCCACAGTAGACAGTTTGAGGTTGAAGCTGTGAGGGTTTGAGGCTATAACAGCGGAGTCAAATAGCGCGTTCCAGGCGTTGACCACTCTGTTACTGAAGTCGTATTTTCTGCAATCGAGTTTACCTGGAGTTTCTTTGCAAAAAAGAGAATGGCAGGCATTGAAAAACAAATTACATGGAAAGAAAAAAAGTAAATCCATTACCAATCAAATTATTTTGTTAAAATTATGGTTTCAGTCGTTTTAAGACAACATAAATACTAGGAGTATCATTTTAAATAATTGCTTGTTAAATGTTACATGAAAAACAATGTAAAATTTTTATTTCAGTTTTACATACACATACACACACACACAAATAAATTTATTCCGTGAGGTTTTGTTTTGTAGTGATAAAGGATTTTATTTGAAGCATGTCAGTGCATATTTTCCCTTGGATATTTCATTTCCTCCCTTTGTGTTATGTATAGAAATGAGCTGTGATGCAATTCGATAACTCATTTCATGGGTTTCGCAAGAATGTTTGACTGTTTTTAAGAGAATATTTTTTCATGCTATGTTGAATTGGTTGTGGTAAAACAGATTATAGCCATCCCCAACTTTGAAAAATTGTGCTAGCTGGGAATTCTGGGAATTGAGGTCCATCACATTTGGATTCTCCCTAGATCTGGATGGTAGCTATAGAAATCTAGAGCAGTGTTTTTCAACCTTTTTTGTGCAAAGGCACACTTTTTTCATGAAAAAAATCACGAGGCACACCACCATTAGAAAATGTTTAAAAAAATTAACTCTGTGCCTATATTCAATAAAGCGGGTGGTTTTCCCACGGCACACCTTACACTATGTCACGGCACACTAGTGTGCCGCGGCACAGTGGTTGAAAAACACTGATCTAGAGCAATAGCTCAAATTTGGCTTAAAACCTCACATTTCCGAAGTTCATGGGACCAAAATAATTTGTTCAGGTGCTGCTTCTTCACTGGTGTTTTTCTGCTGATAATGTTGTTTACGTGATTGGTGAAATGAGAACTATCAACATGTATTTGGCCTGTTGCCTGTGCTACTTTTTTTTTTAAAAAAAGCATGGTGTGGTAGGTGTGTTTACGTTTCTGTATTGCCTTCTGTTGCTTCATAGTGGCAGGAAATCAAGATGAAGTGAGTACTGTTTAATAGTACTTATTGATGACTGCTAGTCAGAGGTGGGATTGAAAAATGTTAACAACAGCTTCTCTGCCCGGTTGCTGGGTGGGCATGGCCATGGTGGGCGCGGCCTTGTCAGTCTCCTGCACCATGTCAGTGGGGGGCATTTTCTCCCTCCCCAGGCTCCAGAGGCTTTTTTCGATCCTCTGGGAGGGCGAAAACAGCCTCCCTCAGACTTTGGAGGCCTTCCGGAGACTGGAAATGGGCCTGTTTTCAGACTTCCGGTACTTCTGGTAGACCTATTTTTCACCTTCCCCAGGCTCTGGAGGCTTTCTCTGAGCCTCCAGGTGGGTGAAAACGGCATCCCCTGGACTCCAGAGGCTTTCTGAATGCCAGAAATGGGTCCACTTCCGGATTTCCAGAACACCCTTTTTTCACCAGAGCCTCCGTGCAGGCTCTACACTTACCTGGCATGATGAATGGGCTGCATGGAGACTCCTGGGAGGGGAAGGACACGGTGGGTGTGACGGTCCTTGCAACAACGGGTTCAGTGAAAACTGGTGCGAACCGCTTGAATCCCACCCCTGCCGCTAGTCTGTTTTTCATGCTTTTATTTTATGATGCAGAACCTAGGCAAGTTATTTTATACTACATGGCTAACTATTTTATATTAGCTGATCAACCATATTTCCCTTATTTTCCAGTTATGTGTATCAGTAAAATAAATATAAATCTACAGTGAAAGCAAATGTATTCTGTTTGACTTTTTAAACTTTGGACCCAATTCACTTAAATATATTTACACGTGCAATTCATCCTGAATGTATTATTTTGTTCAGAATAGCAATATATTACTCGTATCTTTGTTGCTATTTACATTTAAATAAGGGAAATAACTCACTTGGATATTTTATTCAGTGAATTTCATTGATTTACAGGCTGCATTTGCATTGTCTTCTTATAAAGCATTGTGCTAGAATGAAGAATATAATTCATTTTTGCCTGATCATATGTATATAATAGCATCCTTTCTGAATATAGTGATGGCTCCTGAAGAAATATACAAGTACTTAAGAAAAAGTTATAATGTGAAACATTTATTTTTGATAAGCCAAATAAATTAACAGATTGTATATTGGTGGAACAGACTGTCAATATGAGTAATAGATTGAGTGTTCAAAGGAATTTAATTTAATCTGATTGCCATTGTTCAGATACGTCACAATCTGACTTCTAAACCTCCCATATCCCATTTGCTTTCTGTTTTGTGTCAGAGCTCCCCAACTTCTGTCAAACATGTGTTGGCTTACAATAACCATAATTTTCAGACAGCACCACAGCTGGCAAGATGCCAGGTTGAAATCTTAGTTTTTATTGATTAAGTGGTTTAATTTGTTCAGATTTGTGTCCTATCAGAAATCAGAAAGGTGAACATTTCCTATCTGTTTATAATAAAAATGTTAAAAAAATAACACCACAAGGAAATTATAATCAGTACTGTGCTCTCTACATCACAAAAAAATGCACGCATATCTCAAGTACTGCAAGAATCTATCCCATCTATGAAGTAGTCCTGAAGCATCAGATCTTCACCGTTGTTCAGAAATATAGCATGGAAGGAAAAGTCATTAAAAAATAGGAAAGGTGTTAATCACTGAGAAGGCTCAACCATAATGGCCCTCAAAAGGACATTTCTTCTGCATGCCATTACTTCCTGTCCAAATTGGATGAGCAGTGTTTTATCCAGTGTAGATCCTCTCTAAGAAAGTCTAACCAAGTAGAGCAGGTATGTCCAACTTACATTACCACAGTGGCATCACATGATATATTGGGACTCCCCCCCCCTTTGCTAAACCAGGCGTGGGCTTGGCCAGTACATGACTCATTTGGCCTACTGGCCAGAACTTGACAGCCTTGATGTAGGCCGTTAAAGATGGCATGCAACACCTTAAATTGTATCCTGAAGAAATCTGGAAAACAATGAAGATCCCACTGCATAAATTTCACATGGGGAAACCTAAAAAGGCTGCTATAGAACCAGCTAAAATTTAAATAGCAACTTTCATGTAAAGTGGGTTGCAATAATCTAATGAAATAATGAAGACTATCAGTGAAGCCTTCCAAAAATAGTTACAAGTGTCACCCAAGATGTGACTGCACAAAAGTGCTATTGGCCACAGGCTCTACCTGAATTTTAATGAGTTAACTCCTTTCCATTATTTCAAGAAATCTTGTATTTATCTTTTTTGTTTTCAGCATTTGACACATTTGACAATAGGAATCAATAGGTTCTGAAATCTAGAATAGGATTATGTTAGCCTTGGATGGTAATCTAGACAAATACTACATCTATCTTTATTATAAGGTTACATCAAAAGAATCTTGCAAGACTGAAAGTATTTCTCCCTGCTTTTCCTTTTATTTTCTGGAATATTAGGGAAGGTCCTTCCTAAAATGCTTTCAACTTTGTATATCATCCAGTGATGAATTTGACAGCCTTAAAAAAACCAAACTATAAATAAGCAAAAAGATATATTTAGAAAAATAGGAATAGTTAGGATATATCAATGTTTCCCTAAAGCAAAACTAAAAATGAAATGAATTTGTAAAATAAAATAAAAGTGCTTTTACTGAACAGTTAAGATTGATCCAAATGTTCAGCATGGTGCTGAATTAGTATTTCCAATATAATTATCTGTGGTAACATTATTAATAAAACTTACATAGATATAAATCTATAAAGCTGACCATTTATGGAACCAACTAAGTTTTTCAAAGATAAACTTCTCTAGAAAAATACTTTTCTACTACTCTGTTTAAATATTGAACAATTACTAATACTAAGAGCATCTGAATATATGGAGCTTTATCCATTATAATAAAGCATACTTTCAAATATTGCATTTTTGCTGTAGAATTTGATAAATAATGTTTTTGTTTTTGTGTTTTTAAAGTTTTCAATGTATTATATGTACTGTTTTCAATGTATTTTTGTATTATATGTACAATGTATTATATGTACATGTGGCATGCACCAGATAGAAGAGTATCTAAAGATGTTTACTAATTAGTTTGAGAGCAGCATAGATATACTAATGTAGTGTATTGTTTCACTGGAAAAGTACATAATTATTAAAAATATACACAACATATGTAGGCTTAACTATATATTTATTTATTTATTAACTCAGTTTCCTATCAGACTGTCTAGTAACTTCACTTATTTTTAGTGAAACAGTTTGTAACAACTTAAGAATACAACTTGTAAGAACATAATACAGTGAAATTTTGTTTTAATGGAATAATGGAGAAAAATATTCATTTTTGAGGAAATCCTAAGAATGAGCAATAATTCATTCTTCCACAAGAGGACATATTTATATATTGATGCATTGTTTTTATCACTTTATGTCATTTAAATTATGATAGAAAATCAGAGTTATAAAATTGTCTAAAGCTCATGATATCCATTGGATTAAGTTCCAGTTAAGCAATCTTTCATAATACATTCTTTGTATTATGAATGCTACTAATGAGCAGAAATCAGTTATGGACTATACCCATCACATTATAACCATCAATATCTGATTTCTACATTTTAGTTTCTAGGGAAAGTAGGATCCATTGCAATAAACACTCTATAAACTCACTACAAAGAGGTCATTGTAAGTTCATTCTAATAGCATGTATAGTATACGTTCCATTTGAGTGTCAAGTTATATTCAAAACTGGAATTTAATGTCTGTTTATAAAAATATATATTGATTTCAGCTTTGCATGGCAATGAATTGCATGCAACTCTGATTGATTTTTGAATAGATATAAGTAGGATTTGCTGGTAGAGATTAAAATTACTGTTATTTATTGCACAGTCATGACATTGTCTAGTGGATATATTACAACTTCGTTAAATCATATTATTAAAAAAATCCTGCATGCTTTAAGAAGTTTAGCAAGTTCATCATATTTACTTAATGATTAATACTTTCTTGATTGACTTGATTTTCTAATCTGAAGACATACTTTTTAATCTCATATCCTCTGGCATTCTGCACTGATATTTTGGAAATACCTTTCCAACATGAAAAGTTATAATGTTTATATACAAAATTGATATAATTTCACACAAAAAATCTGGCAGTCAGCTAAAGATAAACCTATTATATCTGTAAGTAAATAGTAGTGTATAATCAAAAAGTTGCATAGGATTTTATTCAAAATTTAACTAAAATTAAAATATTTAATTTTGCACGCAAAGCCATATCTTGCTTGTATTATGGATAGTAGTGCAACTGTTGTAAACATGAAATTAAAAGTCTAATTTTGTCTTTCTAAGCAATTAGGTCTCATTAATAATATCTATTCAATGTCTGCTTTAGGTGCCTTCCTTATACCCTATGTCATTTTCTTCATTTGCTGTGGAATACCAGTGTTTTTCTTGGAAACTGCTTTGGGACAATTTACTAGTGAAGGAGGAATTACATGCTGGAGAAAAGTTTGCCCACTGTTTGAAGGTATACATCATATTCATTTTCCATTGGTATACGTATTCAAGTATTTTTGTGAGTATAGACGCAGAAGCACCTTTATGACTATCGAAAATATTTTACAGGTAGACTGAATTTTCAGCGTTCAAAATGGAAAGAACGCTTCAAATCTGGTTGCCATTAATGATAACAAAATATATAGTAGTCACCTAATTGCCTTTGAATGCGCGAAGATATCATAAATGCTCTTTGTCTGTGTACTTCCATCATCCAATTAATAAAAAATGCAGCATAAGAGTCTGAGTTATAAATTTGGGGATCCCATTTGGACCAGGAATTTGCTTCTTGGGAAAGTCATTGTCTCAGTTTTCCAATATATTTGCAGCTTCGAAGATTGAAATATTTGCTTGACTTAAAATGGATGTTAGCTTAAGATCATATACCAAACCTTATAATGATTGGGAAAAAGTGATAATTTAAAGATTGACTTATTCTATTCTTAATTTGGAATGTGTAATTTGGAAGTTTTGCTAAGCAGCAAAAGACCTAAAAACTGTTTCATGGGTCCTTCAATCACCTAATTTCCACTGCAAGTTTATTTTGGGGCATTATTCTTCTCAGCTCCTGCCTTTGTTTCCTATCTAGCCTGTAGCACTGGTGACATAGTACATTTAGACTCTCAAAATTGGGGGATTCTGTTTTAGAAGCTATAGCAATAGCAGTTAGACTTATATACCGCTTCATAGGGCTTTCAGCCCTCTCTAAGCGGTTTACAGAGTCAGGATATTGCCCCCAACAACAATCCGGGTCCTCATTTTACCACCTC